GAGAGAGAGAGAACTAGGGGATTTAGGATAGCTTTCAATGTTGGGTGAGAAGTCTTCTGATTCAGTGGGATCAAGAGAGAGAGAGATTTCAATCTTGAGTGCACGAGCCAAGACTTATGCCGCCTCATTGCTGGAGAGAGAGAGAGAGAGATTTCAATGTTGAGTGAATGAGCTAAGAGTTATGCAGCCTCATTAATGGAGAGAGAGAGACCATTGGCGATCACCTTCACCCATTGAAGTAGGACAAAGGCCAGGCTCTAGTATGAGTTCATTGCCCATCTTTTCAACTTGGTTGTTTTGGTGACCAGATGTGAGGAATGACAAAAAGAAGACAAGGAGGCTAATGAGTTAGTGAGGAGTAGCACTGATCTAGAGAGAAATGATCTTGTTGAAAATGAGTGGCTTCGGGGGAAGATTTTAGAGAGAACAAATGGGTTGGGGGGAAAGGTAAGAGAAATAGTGCCTTGGTTGATGAAACTGAAAGGGAGAACGAGTGCTTTCGTTCTTTAAAATAGGTGGTTTTGAGGAAAGAATTGCAAGAGAGAGAAGTTAGAGAGAGGGGGAAGGGGGGGGGCACGGGCTTTCTGTGGACCTGAGGGTCTAAATGGGATGCATTTTATTGCGGAGAGGGTCCACATCTTTGTCCCAAAAACATAACTAGACACACCAAGATTTTCCCTACTAACGTTAAAGGGTATCAATATCACCAGTAGTTTCCTGCCCCCGGAGATGATATTATACATGTTCAATTAACTTAAACTACCTATTTGTCATTGAAAAAAAGCAAAGTACATAGGAATCATTGAAAATTGTAACATGGTACAAAGTAACCGATAGTAAGGTATTACTTTAGAAAAAGAACAAGAATTTCCCTAGCGAACTGCAGAAAAATTACACCATCAGCCAGTGGCAAACTCAAAATTTGAATAAAGCAGGCTTATGCGAAAAACCCCCATGGTGTAGGCAAGAGTGGGTCCGGGAGTGGGATCGGTTTGAGGAACTCCGAACTGCCATACGGTGGAAACTCGCTGGGGTTAGGACCAACATCCGTATGTTCAACATGTTAAGGAGCTAGATCCTAGGATACATGGGAGCACGATCCATGTCATTGGGATCGAGGTTGTGGCTTGGAAGGATCTAAGCTCCACTATACATAAAACAATATCAACTAATAGTATATGGTAAAATGAGGATCAATGTCTGCTCGATCCATTATCACACACTTTAGATGCCATAGTTATAGTACTCCAATTTACTATAAGGAAGGGTGGAGCCCTAAACAATCAAATTAAGGCGCACCTTGAAAATTCAGTAGAAGAGGTTGTCTTAATGCCTAAATATTCTCAAATCGATCATCTCAACCTCAAGATGTATGAACATGAGAAACAAAGGATTTGAAATTCTTGAAAATAGTGCATCTTGTAATGCATTTGCTGGACCATCAATTTTCAAGATTTACAAGTATTCATAGATCTGCTCGATCTACACTAGTTTTAAATCTTTAAATTTTATAATTATAGATTAAAATATATTTTCAGATCATCACAAAGATTTCCAGTACTAAAACAACATCTTTCAACACTATTTTGAGGTCCTTACTTTGATTGTTTAGGGTCTCAACCTTATATACAAACCGCACCCTTACCATAACAATACAGTTCAATAATAGGAAAGGGGCTGGGATTGTGGTGGTAGCATCCCCACACCCAATTACCACATCGTGGTATCCATTCCTACCGCTAACACCCCTAATTCACACCTTCAAAATGTAACTGCCCAATCTATTGAAAAAATGGGTAGGGGCTTGTCTTCCCCACTGAACCAAAAAAACAAAACATACAGTTCAATAATATATCATCTTACTATGAAATTAAACGGTAGTTTTTCAATACTATAATTCTAGATACCACAATGTGAGATGCACCACAGTTTAACATATTCTAAAGAAATAAATCTATAAGACTATATTACCAAGGAGAGGAGCAGTAGTTCAATTAAAAGTATAGCTCCACTCCTTGGAGGGATCCTACAAGGCTATGAGTATGTAATCCGAGATCCCATTTTATAGGGAGCGTGATCCCTATTCCTCTAAACCCAGTTCCCTCTAAGATCCCTGATAGGAACCACGAGAACAAGTTCCTAAGGTGGGACCGTGGCCTTACCCCAAGTTTCCCGCAACTATGTGTTATACTAGAGGATGTCACACCCTCATTTTCGGGATTTTTGGGATGTGTAATATCAAGAATACTTCTCTAAATACATTGATATGTAGGATAGAAGCAAAGTACAAAAAAAAAGGAAGATCAGAAGAAATTAGTTTGTAAATGGAAGATAGATGCTAACCTGATGGGTTGAAAGAAGGATCTGTTGACTGGACAAGTTTTTCAACATCAACAACAAGCATATTGGGCTGCACAAATGCTGTATGGATTAGTTCCAATAGAAGTATATCAAAAAGTTGTCAAGTTTCAGGGAGTTTACAGGTACACATACATCATATAAGATACAGCAGAATTCCAAAAAATGTGCCAACCATAAGGTACTTCCAGATTTTCAGTTACAGAAAAGCAAAGCCATAATGGATGCGCCATAAATGTGAAGTAGATGCTAACCTGAACCAGTGTCTGACCAAATGCCACAGCCAAAAGTTTATCCTACCAAATTATAATAAACAAAACGGTAAATGAGATGTGAACTCCCACAAACTGAACACATCTGGATAAACTAAACTGCTGCAAAAGCTCACCAGCCACCCTGCAATCCCAGGAAGTTCAGTAACATCAAGGCCATGGCTGAAGATAGGTTTGACTGTCATCTGAAAATATGGTGGTTCCACAAAGCATATCCTCAAACGCTGGATAAAAGGCCAGCAACGAAGAAACTTCACCCCTACCACTACCTAGTAGATCAAAGAGAATTAAAACTTTATCTCCATAAAATCTTCAAGATTTGAGTGAAAAACCACAAAATTTTCACAAATATAAAAATTCCCTTCAAGAAAGGACAACGATAATTTGATTCAGGACATGATCAAATTAGGGACAATGTAAAGGGGAACACAAGAGAAACAATACAATAAACAAAACAAATTTTTGCTCCTTGCCTGGCTCAATTACTTCTCTTATCTTTAACAAAAATTAAACTACATATCAAATCTTCTGGACTAAAAAAAAACGACTCTCCTAACCCCTATAGCCACTTGTGAGATACCCATTCCTAACTGAATTCCACCAACAAATTCTGTACTCCAAAGCAATCCTTCCAATAGAAGCAGAATTTAAAGATACCTATTCCTAATTGAATTCCCCTAACAAATCTGGTGCTCCAAAGCAGTCCTTCCATTAGAAGCAGAATTTCAAAACAGTCCTAACTGCAAGAAAATAGAAAACTATCGATCCGCGAAAACCAGAGCAGAATTTGTCAAAATCCACCATATTCCATCTGGTGGATCGATAGGTCTTGATCCTCCCACCAAGTTAGCCAAAATCATATGGTAGGGCCAAATTCCGGCATTCGTGTGAAAATATTGAAATTCCAAAATAGTCCTATTTCCAATGAGCTTTCCTCATGGCATAGGGCTGTAGGCAGACTTAGTGCCATTTTCCATAGAGGTTGATACAGATCATATGCTTTTTCAAAGCATAGGATATTGAATTGTCTCAAAAGACAAAGGCCAAGATAAACTTGGTGACTACAAGGGAACGATAAGAACCTAAAGCTCTATTGTACTTCGACCCAATAACAATAGGGTTTTGTTAGGCTACATCACTTGGTGGTGTATATCCTTAAAATCCTATAACATTTTTGGACACTTATATACCCTTATCCTATAGTGTAGTAACTTTTTGTCTAGGGGTATTTTAAGTAATTACTCAAGAGTAAAATAGAAATTTCTAATAAAAACAAAAGCATTTATTAACAATAGTGGACAATGACATCAACGACACGGTGTGTGACATCACCCCTAAGATGCATTAATTGTTTATTAACTACTAATAGAATGCCACTATTTTCTTGTAGAAATATCCATTCTATCCCTCTAAATGACCAAAAATGCCCCTACATGAAAATTTTCGTATTACAATTCAAGGGTATTTAATAGTCCAAAAATGTTGAGGACTTTAAGGGTACACACCACCAAGTGGTGTAGCCTAACAAAACCCATCATAATAATAATAATAATAATAATAATAGGGCGCATATACTATGTCCCTCAGGAGCATAATATACGGATACTCCCTCGGACAGATGACCAACTTGGGAGGATTTTTTAAGTTCTCTAACAATTAGATCTCACCCTGAAAAAAAAATTAGACGATCTTTGTTCAATATTGAGAAGTTATTGTTTTCAAATGCATAGAGAGTGCAATTTGGATTTTCTTTTTCATTTTTTTTTATATTGATGTTAGTCTATGGATTGAAGACGTTACATCCTAACATTTTGGGTCCTACAAGTACTCTTAGATTGGGTGTTACCCGAAGGAGTAAATGAACAATATGCTCCCACGGTATTATGAAATCTTTTGGCAAAAAATATATATACATTAAAGAGATTCTTATTTCTCTTGTCATCTTGCAAAACAAATAAAAGCAAGATATTAAATTCAATCCTCATGTCAACTTGACATCAGATTCAACAGAAAAATGCCTGTACGATATGAAATTCGAGAAACACAAGATAATGATTTCCAGTTACTTCTACCTAAAAGTATTACACAATTAAAAGAGCTCGCATTTCTCATGTCAGCTTGACCTAAGATTCAACAGGATGATGCCTGTAGGGTGTCAAATTGGAAAAAACAACAAGCATTCATGCACAACAAAGGATGCATACAGTTTTCTCAACATGTACATAGATGCATTGCAACTCTGACAACTGGATACTCATATATGCTTGACGTTCCAGAATACACAATAGGAAAAAATACCAACATGGATGACCCAAGGATGAAAAGTTAATAGATTATAAAATTACATCTTACAAGATCATAAATTATGTCAGAGTCATACATTCACGTACTACATAGACAAAAAGACTGGAATTGGGTACATTACTCTTATATCTATCCATGTCTAGATATCACGAAACTCCCAGTATCCCTGCTCCAGTAGCTGCATCTATGTCAAATCTTACTCATTCAAGGGAGAGAATGCACTTTGCAACCATGACTAAGGGCATAGGTGGTACACAATACAAATACAAATGCTGAAGGCCTAGCTATTTCCACAAGAGGATGATGTTCGTACCTAGGAAACGATCAGAAAAATAACTGCCATACTCACGAAATGTCCACAGGTTATTGCTACGAAACTCACAAACTGAATTTTTTTAAAGAAAGTAAATAAGTTCCCCATTACAAAAAAACAAAAACAAAAAAAACATAATTTTCCCATCCAACTGACCATCATGGCCCTGCAACTGTTTGTATTTAACTCTTGGTACAACAAGCATGCCCAAAATCTAGAATTTCGTCATCTTTGGACTTCCCAAAATTTTGCCCAAAATCATGGAAACTCATCATATTTGAAATTTCAAAACTCTTGGTACAACTAGCATGCCCAAAATCAAGAATCTCGTCATCTTTGGACTTTCCAAAATTTCGCCCAAAATCAGGGAAACTCATCATATTTGAAATTTCAAAATTTTCTCTCATGAAATGACGAGGAAACAAAGGAACTAGTACCTTCTGTCTTTGGCCATTTAGAGAAAATTACTAACATCAGATATTCGATACCCAAGCCAATCCAGATGCTTACCTAAACAAAAGTCATTAATATATGGGAAAATGAACTGTGACCTCTCCCCCACAATTCCACAATTGACCTGTGACCTCTCCCCCACAATTTCACTCATTTGCACAGGACCCCGGGGTCTATAAAAAGCCCATGGAATCATTCTACCTTAAAAATCTGGACAACCCCCCCGGCCCTCCTCTCAAGAAATGACAAGGAAACAAAGGAATTAGTACCTTTGTCTTTGGCCATTTAAAGAAAATTACTAACATCAGATATTCGATATACCCAAGCCAATCTAGATGCTTACCAAAACACAAATCATTAATATATGGAAAAATGTCCTGTGACCTCTCCCCCACAATTTCACTCCAGGGTTCTATAGAAAACCCATGGAGGACCAAGGGCCACCCCCCGAACCACATAAATTAAAGACCTTTTGTGTTGACTTTTGGACTACCCTGGACCATATCTTGGGGGCAAGCATGCCAACTTGAAATGGCCTATAACATCATCAAACAAATGCCATTTGAGTTAAACAGAGAATCTGGGGTGCTCTTTTGAGTGCTTGTAGGGTAGTTTAATGAGAAGTCTAGAGGTTAAGAAGCAACCTGGTTCTAGCACTTGAGCTATTAACAAAGTGCTCTTTTCTAACGGGAAATAGGTCATCAATCTTTAATTACCCAAAAAAAAAAAGGTCATCAATCTAAAATTGTACACTATGGCTGGAAAGATGAAAGAGGATTGTTAGGTGGTCGAGATTGTGTCGGTTCTTCATAATTTGAAAGATGACAATAAAGAGGGTCACCTTGTTGTTCATAGTGAGAAGATGACCATTGCTTTCTTGCTTATAAACACAAGACCAGGGACTGTTTAAGTTATGGCCTCTCAAGACCTTAACTTCGACTTTCCAAGATAGTTCTAGGTCACAGTGGAAGTGAACTAGAATGCTACACTTCCCAGATTTTAGTGAACTGAGATTCGGAAAGTCAAAATACCCAAAGTCATAAGGCAAGACCGGAAGGCCTTATTCACAACCAATAGTTTTGCGGGTCTACTTTAGTCATGACCGGTATGAGAACGCCTCATGAGTGTGAGTCACGACATAACCCTATGTGAGTAGAACAAGCATTGAGAGGATATAAGCCTAAATCCATGACAATTTAGTTTACTCATAGCATGTGCATAGGATAGTCGGAAATGGGCAACCGCTGTGAGAAAGTTGATCTGCTTAATCAGTGCTATACACGTGCGCTAGAGAGAGAACCTCCACATGTTGGATATAGCAATACATGAATAGATGGAGATCCGGGTGGGATGATGGCATAGACGGATTGCTTTAAGATCGAGGATTGGATGTAGAATGGAATACGCCCATCAAGACAGGGCAAGCAATTGATCCATACCACCCGGTTCCCACTGCTAGAAGGGGATCGGCCCACCAGCAGAGGAATTAGGTACCGGCGAATGACCAAGGAACTGACTACCCGATAGATACAGCTGCCAGGTAACACACTACTGATAACAAGAGTGCATGTCCTTGGGGGCGCATTTCTATTCCACTAAACATCTGGAAACCAAGGTCATCCATCGGGTCAGCTCTAATAAGCCAAGCATGTTCGCCTGCTTGAGACTATGTGACATAGCTCTGTTGGGGTAACTCGAAAAAGTGGCCAAATATTCCGAAGCTAGCTCAGTGGAGTACCATACAGCCCAATTGTACCCCTCCTGAAGGTATCCTAATTTCCCTATTCAGATTTTTACTGGATGCCAAATTAAGTGAATTTGTTAGTTTGAAGCTAGCCCAATGGAGTACCATACAGCCCAATTGTACCTCCTGAAGGTATCTTAATTTCTATTCAGATTTTTACTGGATGCCAAATTAAGGGAATTTGTTAGGGAATGTTTAAAGATGGTCTACAATAATTTTTGAGAACTTCTGATAATATTATTATAACTAAAAATGGCTTCAAAATTTTGTCTGCACAAAATTTCACCTAAGGACACCCACATATATGGAGCGTGGCACACAAATGGCCAATGTGTCACCATGCCACGTGCAGGCACACATAGGATGCCATGCCACTTCCATGTGGATATGATGCAGATAATCCAAGTGGGGTGTGAGGCCCTTGTTTGGGTGAACCACAATGTGGATAAGTGCAA